CCCCCCCCCCCAAGATCTACATCCGCCTCTTCCACACAATTCCACAGGTTGCTTCTCTACATTGGTCGACTACTCATATATGCCGAAAACACCGTAAATTCCGATACAATTGTGCTTTACTCCATGTGCATGCAAACAGTACTGCTACAAGTCGCGGGTTTGATATGTGTAAAAGTCTGGCGCCGAATCTCGGCAGCAGATTTATGGTAGTTTATATGTTGGAGAAGCTGAAATGCTGGAGGGCGTGCTATTTTTGTGCAGGTAGTACCAAAAAACCTCGTGTTTTTTGCGTTTTATGGTGTGTTATTTGACGACACTCCTCTAATAAAAATACTATTGTTTCTCTTACGAAGACGTCTGTGTGCGTGGGCCATCTCTTTCCCGCTGCTCGTGAAGCGTCCGATTCTGATGCAGCCTAAAAGCTCTAGCATTTGATTTATGAGTTACGAAGCACAAAGAGCTCCTTTCATGCCCTGTCCGGTATATATGAAGGAAGTCGAATATACGGGCGCGTATGTTTTTGAAGCAATACTCCAATAGTTGTTCTTTAGCCTCATAAAACATGGGAAAACTCCCCTGGAGTTGGAAAGTTCATGTGCATATGCGGGCGCACAGGAAGGCTCGTCTGCAGCAAGAAGTAAGAGAGCTTGTTGCAACCTTCCAAACATGAAGCAGGACTAATTACGACTGGCTGCATTGATATGTATCAATCACAAGGCAGGGGCTCTTTAACCTCGTAAAACAAAGTAAGATGGCACTTCATGGAAGAAAGCTCCTCTTTATGTTGTGAGTCGATATTAAAGGCAGCCATGTGCATAGCAATCGCTATCTATTTTTGCGGGTACTCATTTGGGCCATGAGTTTTCATTCGGTTAAATCGTATTGATGCTGTCCTATGCCCCGGAGAAGATACCGATCGCTATGTCCATGGCTGTTTCTCTAACTTCCTATTCGGTTTCCTATGAGACATCTTCATACGTATCAAGCAAGAGACATGAAGATTCCTGCTAATCCAGAAGAAAATTCTACGATGTCACCTGTATTCTTCGAAGACTGAAGAGAGCTCCTTTTCATGTTGTGATACGAACTATGACAGTGTTTAAACCACTGTCACAGACAGAAGGACCGGTATCGCTTTGTCAGGATGTGAGGGAGGTGTAGAAACCGATACAAGTCTTACGCCTCTTGCCCGTTTAATACAAGATACCAATAAGCAAGCTTTTCTTTGTTTGCTGATCACATCTGGGGAGTTTCGCTTGAAGATTGAATAGAGCTACTTTTTTCCGCTACGTTCTATGACAGCAAGAGGCAAACAGTTTCCTGCAGTCTCCAATATGAAATGAATTAAGTTCTAGATAGGCTTGCGCTGCTACAGTGTTGGATCTGTAGGCGGTGCAGCTTGCCGAAGAAGGGCCAAACCCATTTTCGAGAAAGCTCCGGTACTGGAGCCAGTGCTGCTGGTGCCATAGATCTACCAACCTCCAAAAACATACATGAAATAAGCTATGCAACGACTAGGCCTTTTTTATGCTTACCAAACAAGAGTAATGAAAACGAAAACCGTTGTTGTTCCAGAAGACACATAAATCATTACTTCCAGTCCTTGACAGCGGTTGAAAGCACACAATTATCTTGTGATGCAATATCTCCTGTCCTGGACATCAGAAAACACTGTAATTCTCATAAAATTCCAAAATTTCTAACCCTGAAACTCACGAAACACTGTAATGCTCAAAAATCCAAAAATTCTAAAATTCTGGCATCTATGGCCAGGCCGGGGGCAGATTCCTTAAGAGTTTGGAATTTTTTGAGCATACCAGTGTTTCGTGCGTTTCAATGGTTGGAAAAGTTGATTTTTATTGAGCATTACAATGTTTTGTGCGGTTGAACCGCACCTCGTCCGGGTGGATTTCCATAGCTTCGTGTGCGGCAAGATTTCAATAGGCTTGGAGTCACACTTGATTGTGCACAGCTGCGCACCCATCACATATCGTATGTCCCTCTTCACTAGACCCTCTCATAAACACTGACTGGCTCAAGACTTCGGCCGTGGGAGAACGAGACGGACCAGGCGGTTTTGGTTTTAGGACCAGCATCAGCAGGTTTGGGGGCGGACAAGACACGCGCATCATGAGCATCAGCGGTGTTGCATGGCAGTGCAATAACTGGAGCCGCTACCCCATGACCTCGTTGTTGAGTGGTGCATTAAGCAAATTCACTTCTTTTTGACCATGATCAATCTCAAAGACGCTTTCTGACCAGGCGGTTTTGGTTTTAGGACCAGCCCCGAAGCCGACTGATGTTCATGAGGCTACGGCTGATGCTCATGTTTCTACACGTCCTAGAGTTCCAGATTCCAGATTTGCAGGATAAGTTTCCAGATTCAAGATTTCCAGATTTGCAGGCTCTAAGATTCCAGATTCCAGATTTCCAGATTTGCAGGCTGTAAGTTTCCAGATTCCAGATTTCTGGAAACCTTAGGGTTTCCAGATTCCAGATTTCTGGAAATTTGGAAACCTTGAGGTGAGCAAATCTGGAAATCTGGAATCTGGAATCTCTGGAAACATAGTGCATGCAAATCTGCTAAGTTTCCAGATTCCAGATTTCCAGATTTGCAGGCTCTAAATTTCCAGATTCCAGATTCCAGATTTCTGGAAATCTGGAAACCTTAGGGTGAGCAAATCTGGAAATCTGGAATCTGGAATCTCTGGAAACATAGTGCATGCAAATCTGCTAAGTTTCCAGATTCCAGATTTCCAGATTTGCAGGCTCTAAGTTTCCAGATTCCAGATTCCAGATTTCTGGAAATCTGGAAACCTTAGGGTGAGCAAATCTGGAAATCTGGAATCTGGAATCTCTGGAAACATAGTGCCTGCAAATCTGGAATCTGGAAACCTGCGTACTGCAGAAAGCCGGAAATCAGGAAATCCATGCTCCGGAAACCTGCAGACGTAGATCTTGGGGGGGGGGGGCGAGCATATATATATATATGTATACAAACACTGTAATGCATACATACATACATGCATACATACCTACGTACATACATACAAGCATACATACAATCATACACACATACCTATACATATGTATACACACGCATTGTTGTCATACATATGTATATATATACATATGTATACATACGCATCTACACATATACATACATACATAAATACCTACGTCCGTATGTACCTATATATGTGTGTATAAAAATATATATATATATATATATACATACACATACACACACACACACACTTTTACAATACACACAGACACGCACGTATTCGGCACACATGCAGACAGACAGAGACAGGCAGGCCAGCAGGCGGCATGCAGACAGACCGATGGACGGATGCATTGCACATCTTCAGACAAGGGGCGAACGGGAGGGAGAAACGGCAATACTACCTACTATCAATAGTGGTGCATAGGTTGTTTAAACAAACTTATGTACTGCCTAACATCAACAATATGCTCGTGATGCGTTCATAATGCGAGAAATTCGTCCACAACGGTTGCTATTATGATGGCGACACTTGCTGCAGCTACGGCACTCCTGCTGCCCATGGTATTTGCCGCTGCTGACGCTGCTGAGGATGATGGTGATGATGAAGAAGTTTGAGAAGAAGATGGCGGTGGTGATGACAATGACGACGATGATGCTGATGATGTTCATGAGCACTAAATTCACTAAATCCCTGACCCTAAAACCCGTATTTCCTACGAGACCCTCAAGTTTACACGCCCTCTTCCCTTCCGCAACCCACTTTACGGGTTTGGTTTTTGCAGGGATTGCCTTAGCCCTGGCGGGCGCGCTGTCCATCGCCAACATCAGCATCAATGCTTCTTCGGCTAGAAAAGTTGACCCTCCGCGGCTTTGTTGTGGGTCGGTTCATTATGGTTTGGATTTGGGAAAGGGCCTTCAGATTTCAGGCTTTCAGGGGTTTGGGATTTAGGTTTTCAACCTGAGGGTGTAGGATTTTCGCTAAGCTTCAGGTTTTGAGATTGTAAGCATTATGGGTGATGGGGAGGGGTGTCTGGATCTCATTCTTTAGTGAGCTTTGCCGTGACTTTGTTTTTGCACGTTCAGCAAGTGGACGTGTTTAAGTTCCGTTGGCAGAGACTTCGGTTCCCTGGTACTGAATGTACGACTACGGTTGCAGATTCCATGCTTTTACGATCAACACATTATTCCAAATCATCACTGTTTCTGTCCTAAAACGTCCCTGCCCGCGACCTTCAACCGCCAGCCTGGAATCTTAAATCACAGGCACCAGGCCCAGCAGAACGTTTGAGAACTCCCTGCGTCCCTTGCGCGACCTTTGAAGTTGAGTCCATGTGTTCCAGGTCCCGAAACTCGAATAACTAAGCACGATTCCCTAAACAGGAAGATCTAATTCCTACCTGGAGGTTCATGGGTAGTTATACGGGGAGCTATCAGTCCCCCAATATGGATTCTAATCATAGTTACCCCACCCACAACTCCACCTATAACTGCCCATGAACCTCCATGTACGCCCGGGCAGCACGAGTCCTGTTAAAGGGATCTATACGGATTACTATATTAAGGGTTGTTTTAAAAGGGGTCTATAGGGATTGCGACAAGGGGTATCATGGGGATTCCGAGTCCGCAAGGTCAGTGCTACCCTTGACGGAGACATGACGGGAACGCTCGGAGCGCCCTCCGATCTCGCCTGTCCCTATGTCATCTTTATCGAGAAACTTGGCCTCGGGAAGGCACTAACCCAAAGGAGTTTAGAGGTTTGTAGGGGTTTAGGTTTAGGGTTTAGGGTTAGGCTCTGGGGACTCATATTTAAATGCTTTTGGGCCCAAAGACCGTGATATATGAGGCCTTTAGGCAATTCTGAGCTTATTAAACCCTGCACGCCTCAATGGGGTGCACGGCAGCTGTTAGACTCAACGAGGATCGGGCTCGGAGGCAGTAGAAGGAGAGCACGGAAGGCACGGAATGAGCGGTGCGAAAGAGGCTCCTTTTTCTACACTGGCAACCCCTGCCTGTGATCCAAAGCTTCGCAGACCATCCTGCGTCGAGAAGCACACAAGTGATTCAATCACTTGCATGCCCCCCACTCCCCTGGGTTTCAGGAGTCTCATTAACATTATCTGACACTTGAGTCTGGTCAAAAGGCTGAAGTCCCTCTTGACGTCGTCGTCTGGCCGAGCGCATAGCTGGGTCCCCAACTATCCGCCACATGAAGCGCATCTTGTAGTAGAGCTCGAGTTCCTTCCCGCCCTTTTTGGTGAGAGCGTTGGCTAACTGAGCTTCAGAATGCACCCATCTCACTTTCAGATTAGTGGACATCTGGGACTCCTTGACGCTGAGCAGTTCCAGATTTGCCTTCTTCTTTGCGCCCTGCACCGTTAACACCTCGGTACTCAACTTGTCGTAGACGTTCCGGGAGTCCGTGATTAAACAGCCGTCCACCTGCTTCACGGTCTCGGATGGTGCTTGCAGGTTGACCTTGCCAAACTGCATCTCGGCCCATTAGTACCGCATGTAAAATAGCGAATCTTCGCCATTTACTGCTGCTTGGGTTTCTGCTGAGCCCGGGCTGCGGCAACTACGATCAATCTTTGTCGAGCTCCATGACATGGGGCTCACTGCACAAACTGCTCCCTGCAGAAGCTGCTTCGATGAGGCCCCGATGAAGACACCCTGGGTGCTTCCTTCACGGGCCCTGTTCTTGTTTGCGGCATCAACCCAGGCATAAAACTGCATGTCCTCATCCTTATGCCTGAAAATCTGCAAGACGTGATTCTTTCGTTCTTTAGCATGCTGGAGAAGAAGATTCGCCTCAATGACCGTCTCAACTCGTGAATCACACACAGCAGACAACATCATGCTTACCTCGGCTGCAAGATGCGGTCCTGTTTGCTGGGCAAACCAGCTGAGTCCTCCAAGCAAAGCCCTGAGCTGGGTTTTCTCCCACTCTGTCGTCTCGGCCTTTCGGTCCTTACGGCGTGTGGCATTGATGTGTATCTCCTCGAGATTGGAGAGGTGATGAGGTTGGGAGAGGGTAAAGCCGTCACTGGTAGTTTCTATTTGCACACCACATTGAACGAATTTGTCCTGGTCCCAATCTCCCCACCTAAACTTCTCTTTAATCAGACGAATAATCTCCTGCCAGCCTTGATCTTCTTCAGAGCCCCCAAACAGGAAATCATCCACATGACCCGTCACCATCCCTCTTAATTGACCCTGCGGTCTCCACACCCAGGCACAGGCATCACTCCACAACCTCGTAAGGCCAATGGACTCCAGAAACTCAGCTATCGTCCGATACCATTCCAAAGGAGCGTCCACAAGACCGTAGCATGCCCTTTTTAAGCGCGTAACCGTGCCTGCCGGTAGGTTCATGCTTTCCAGGATTTCATCACATGGAATACAGAACAGCTCACTAGGATACTCCCTTCCTTGAAGAAATGCTCCAGTGATGTCTCCTTTTTGGATTCGCCAATGACGGTTGGCGGCTGCCTGTAGGAACAGCTGTCGGGTCTGCCTCGACATGACTGGTGAAGTAGTGGATCTAAATTCGTAGTTCGGGTCCTGGTAGCCAAGCAGTATGGCCCAGGCCTTCGGACGTACACTCCCATCATCCTGTGTCTTCCAAGTAAGCAACCACCTCATACCAATCGCCTGATCCTTTGATGGCTTCAAGTGATCTGGGAGTGCTTCGAAGGCCTGTGCTGCAATAAAGTTGCGCACCTCTTTGGCTTTCGCCTCCTGGAACTTCACGCGGTCCTCAGCAGTCAATCGCTTTTCGCTTACCTCAACCGCTCGTCTTCGCAGTGCCCCCACGAAGTAGGCTTGAGGATTATTCAGAAACTTCTCCCATCCACGATTGCTCTGGGGAACCTCAATCTCGATAGCCACTGCCGCCTCTTCTTGGGCCCAATAGCAAGTTTCCTCTGCTGCCCAAGCACTCTCGGCCACGGAAGCCTGCCACTTCTCTCCAGAGAGTCCATCGTGGCGAGGGCCTGGTGGTTGTCCGACTCGTCGAATGTCGCTCGGTTGACTGGGTTCTCTTGCCTCGGGATCCTCGAGGTCCAGGTCTTCGTCAGGGAGTGGCGCGGCCCGCTTGCCGCGGATCCTGGTCCTGGGCGGTGACACCTCTTCTTGGACATCTTGAGCTCGCTGCCACTCCTGCTCGGATGGCACTTCTGTGCTGATATCTTCATACTGGCTACCACCTATCTCCTCAGCAAGTCTCGTGTAAGTCCAGGGTGTCTGGTCCCTGGTGGCCAAGGACTCTACCAATTCCTCCCTTTGGCTGGCAGGTCTCAGCTGCTCGGGGCTACATTTCATGAGATGTCGCCCCCGTACTACCCACACAGAGTGAGCCGGGCGCGGCTCATCGTCAGTAGACCGTCTGGTTTCCATGGCCAATATGCGCGCCGGTCCTAAAAACCGGCCTTGCGTTGTGTTGGGACTGCGCTTTCCGCGCCCAGACTCCTGGGTGCGCCAAAAGTAGACGAGATCCCCCGGATGGTACAGGTGGCTCGGTCTCGTTCTAGAATTCACTGCACGACTCACTCTCTGTTGTGCTTGCCACTCCACTAGCGCCTTTTCCGCTGAAGCTCGTAGCTCGGCCTCCTTCCGAAAATCTTGCAGAGGTTGATTCAGAATCACATCTGGAGGCTGCGGTCTTTCTGAGTGTAGGTGCCGTCCCGTCTCGTCTGGGGCGCTACCCAGAACATGCTGGACCGGTGAGAATCCTCTCACCAGCTCGCGCTGATTGAACGTGTTAATGGCCAAGCTCATGACTTGCTCAGCAGACAAGCTTGGGTCTTCCGCACTGAGTTTTGTCATAACTGTTTTCAACCCTTGAATCGCGTTCTCCACAGTTCCAATCTGCCAATGTGCTTCCCCCGGTATGATATCCAGATATATCTCATTGCGACCACAGAAGTCCTCTACACTTGCCGAACGGAAACTGCCTGCCGGATCGAGCCTCAAAGCTCGTGGTTTCCCGAAAATCTGGATCCAGCCTTCAGACAGAAAGTTGAGGCATGTGGCGGCGTTGGGAGTTTGCTTGTTGCCCTTGGTAAAAATTTTTGCCACTCGAAATCGTGACCCTTCATCAACCACCATCATGAAATTCTGGGTTTCCCCACAATGGGGACAATTCCAATGGCCAATATCGGCCGTGATAGTGTGAAATTTGGGAGGCAATGGTTCTAAGGACGCCAGCTGTCTCGGCTGTGCTTTCTTTCGTTCGTGACAGATGGGGCACTGAAATTCTTCGGCTAACCTAAGAACTAAGGGGTCCACGTGACGACGTTTGAGGGCCTCAACTAGGTTCCTCGTGCTCCCATGTCCCGTCGCTGCATGAAGGAGATACAACTTACGTTTGATTTCGTCTTCAACCTTACTTCCCTTCTTAGCCTCCCTCCGAAACACAGCCCTAGCCTCAGCACCTTGTCTTCCCTCTTGCCACTGGAACCCACAAGCCTTCAACCACTGAACGTCCTCAACACTCAAGTGAAGAACCCCTCTGCTGGTGTAGCCTCCGACGGTCACTCTGTGGCCGTGCCACGGTTGCGTGGCATGCCACTTCCGAGCATCAAAGGACACAACCTGGTGTCGGGTCCGTCGTAGGTGTCCTGACTTGTACTCGCCTGTGGGTAGCTGGAGGTTTAAGGAAGGATGGTTGGGATTTGTGCTGGGGCCTTCCAGCCACATTTCTCCATGTTGGTATGGAGTCACTCCAATCAGATGGTTCAGGGTATGTGGGAGGTTGTTGACATCCCTATGCACTTGCGTTTGACAATTGTCGTTCACGATGATGCTGCTACACTGAATGTTGTCCTGGGACCAGTGCTGCAAATACTGAAGGATGTACTGACACGTCTGGGGCAGTTGTCGGGCCGGGTAACTTTGGTCACTCCGTAGTGGTTACCGTAGGCATAAACACCTAGAACAAGGTACCTCGGCTTGGCTTGACTGTGGGCTTGCTTGGGTCGAGGGTGTTCCTGGAAGGGCAGTTGGTTCAGGAGTTCTTCGCACTTCTTATGGCTGTAGTTCTGGGTCTTTAAAAGCTCTCGAGCCTGGGCCTCAACGTGGTTCACCCTCTCTTGAGACACCATAACCTCAGCCTCCTTTTCCAACATGCACCCTTCTGAAGAACCCTCCTGTTCCCTCGCACCTCGGTCGATAGCCACCTGCGCCTGCCCTGAAACCTTTTCCGAAACCGTTTGTTCGTTCACACCCTGAAGATCCCGACGGCCCACAAGACAATTTGCACACGTTCGAGGATTCCCGGGCATGCTCACTTCTCCACACGTACAAAACTCACCCCCTCCGAAGGCTTGGCACAAGTAGCTTGAACCCTTACACTCCTGAAGAGTTTCCACATGGCCCATTTCTTGAGTCAGAACCCTGGCTATCCTATGGGTCAGTTCAGACGTGTACCCATGAGCACCATTCCGAAAAGATCCCGTGCACTTTCCATGAAGGTAGAATCGGGGACACCTACATGGGGCCTCCAGGTCCTCAGCGAGCCGTTTATGAGTAGTCAGTATTCGCCATCCCCGCTGAACCAATCTCTTCGTAGTCGAATCCCTCAGATTGAACGCGCAACGGCTAGCCACCGCCTTATACAACCCATACTTCTGCTGAAGATTATTCAGCAAGGGAAGCCTCCAAGCATCTGAGCGGTCTGCCAATTCAAAGGTCACATGGATGCCCTTCTGCACAGCACAGTGTATCACGCATGCGCAACCTACAAAGACCCTCATGGCATGCCTACGCTTCTCCTTCAAATTTTCCGCCTGTTCCTTGTTGGCCTGATTCGGTCCCTGCATGGGAGAGAAGGGTCCACTGGGAGGTCGCAACCAGATGTGTTGCGGCTGCTCAACTTCAATGCGGCTCAACACAAGTCGCACACCCTCATCGGTAGACAGATCACATCCATTGTTCAAGTAGCACTGAGTCACTGCGTCCTCTCTTTTTGCCACAGACTGAACAGTGCTGGCAAGTAGGTTGTCGGCCTCACACGCACACTCCATGAGGCACGGTCTCTGGAAGCCTACAAGGGACTGAAAAAGGTCGGGAACTACAGACCAGGCTTGCCTCTCCAAGGCTCGCGCTTGGCCTGGGGAGAGCTGCCTCGTGCTCTGACTTTTCAGCTGAGCACTCAGCCGCTGAGAAGCACTCATACAACTGTGCTCCTCCCACAACTCACTATCCGAGCCCTCTACAACTCGTTCATCGCTTCGCTCAGTACACTGAACGACCCGTCGGTGAGCTGGCCCTCTTCGGTCTTCCCCGCGGTCTTGCGTGGTCGTTGGCCCTTCACTTCGGCAAGCTCCTGGCGCATCGACTCCATTGCTTCGGCCATTTCCTGCATCATCTTCACCGCCTGCGCACTGGTGGGGTCGGTGCTGGCTCGGCTCGACCCTGCGCGACCCGACACATGGCTTGAGGTGCTCGGGATCTGCATCTTCATGTAGCCCTGCTCCTTGCGCGTGACTGGCGGGGGCTTTGGAGTGGGCTTCCGGTCCATCTCCAGCAGCCACTTGGCAAGCCGTGCCAATCTGGGATCCACATGGTCCTCGCCGCTCTCCTGGAACGTAGTTTTCACCCAAGTCGCATAGTCCTGGTACTGCGTGGCAATGGCAACGTAGCGCTCGTTGGCATGTTTGCCGAAGCCGGCCAGGTCGTTGGCCTCGGCTGGGCACACCCGGCGGATCTCCTTGGTCGCCTTGTCGATCATCTTCGCCATCACCTCGTTCCCCGTCAGCTCGAGCTTGAGCACCTCGGTGCAGTACTTGGTCAGGTTCGCCTTGAGCTTGCTGGCTCGGCGTAAGTCCTTGAGCATCTTTTCCATGGTGGAGTTGGGGCTCGCCTCCTCGTTCTCCAACAGTCCTTGCTCTCGGAGTTCTCGGAGTCGTTGGTTCAACTCCACCATTGTCCAGCTTTGTGGCGGCACCTCGCCGTGGTTCATCAGCTCCATGCGTAGGTCCTCCTTGGTGGCCTTCGGCATGCTGCGCTTGGCGATGTTGAGGGCGAGGATAGCTACCGCCTTCTTGCTGGGACTCACAATCAGCTGCGAAAGTCACTGATCGCGGTCGTCTGGTCTGGGGCTCCGTGTCTTGCCCTGGTGCTTCAGACTCAAGTGCAGATTGTACACTAGCATCACTACCATGAATACCTATACAATCACTCCTGAAACCCATCTCGCTATCAGCTCTAGAGGTTTGCAGAGTGGTTTTCACCCCGGTTTCCGCTGAATCGGTGACCTTCACTGCTCGCGCGGAATCACGAGCAGGAAGGAGCTGTCCCTACACGTTCAGATAGCTCTTCAAGCTGGGCACTTCGCAGGTCGTGGCCACGCCTTTAGCGAGCCAGTCCTCTGTCATGGGTATCAGTTGGTGCCCCGTCTGAGAGCGTTCCACTTGCACAAGTTTCGTGTTGTCCAAAGCCCTGAAGCACACCAAACCCGACTCAAAATCTATAACAGCTTTCAACTTGCGCAACGTGTCTATTGACAGCAACATTGGCCCCGTGCCTCGGTCGAGGCAGTGGACCTTGACTTCTCCAGGCTTCTTGTCTGCACAGATCCGAAGCTGTACAGTTGAACTGCACCTATCCTCGGACCCATTACCAAACCCAAAAACTGGCCTCTCAGTGGTGTCCACTGAGATCAGTCCTGAATGACCACTCTTGAGGTTGTTCAGCTGCATGATCCGCTCCATTGCGTTGATTGAAGCCAGAGTTTTCGTGGCTCCGCCGTCGATCACGGCCTTTCCTTGTGAGACCGCGTCGGCCGTGGAGATGCCGCTCATCATTGCTTGCATGTAGTTGGAGTTGTCCTCGGCACTCTGCTCCACGGTGAGGGCTTGGGGAGGTAGCAGCCACTGGTTCGGCACTTTTTGCTTCAGCCGTTGGTGGATCAGGGCAGTTAGCGAGGCCGCGTCGCAGGCACGTCATTTTCTCATCTCGTCCTTTTCCTCCATCTCGTTGCCCTGCTCCAGAATTGGTGCGAAAGTACTGCCTCGCCAGTCGTGCATTGTTCTGTCTTTGTCTCGCTTCCTTCAGCGTCCGCCTGCCCTGGTTGATCGCGGCCAGGGCGGATTGAGCATCTTCTTCCGCTTCATGCCATTCTTCCTGGTGCTCGGCCTCCAGGATCGGGTCGGTCTCCATGGTCTGCGTCTCGTCCTCGTCCGGCTCCTCGTCGTAGAGCTCGCCCATGTAGCCCGAGTTCTTCGGATGGTATTCTCGGCGCTGGCCGTCGAGAACCACACATTGGTTCCGAAGTTCTTGGGCCACCCGGTCATAGCGAAAATCGCCTTGGAGAGCCGTTTGAACACTGTTCTTCTCCTGGGCTGTCACACCCGAATCATGGAGTAGGTACCACCCCTGGACGTAGTTCGGGAGGAGCTCGGGCATCGCTGGGGCCTCCTCCACGGGCTCCTTGTTCCAAGTCCAGTGGTTGTACCACGGACTACCCCACCAAGAGTAGCCCCACTCCTGGTGTCCGTAGTTCCACTGGCCGCGCTGCCAATAGCTCCATGATCGGTCCTCGGTGGAGGCGGTCGTCGCCTCTGTTGCTGGTGCCTCGTCCTGGTCCTCGGTCGCCTCCTCGGCAGGCGTGTAGTCGTAGCTACTGCGCCTGCTTGAGTTCCACGATGGTGCCCAGGATGTAGAAGTCCTGCCTTTAGCCTTGTTGGTCTCGCCGGGTTGGAGTGGACTGACGCGCTGCAACGCCTGGCAAGCCCTCAAGTAGATCTCGCTCTTTCGGGCGATGTAGCTGTTGATTGTTGCGTCTTCTTGATCCCTTGAAGTACTTGCTCAGGTAGTCGGTCAGGTCGGAGATCTGGGGCCGGCCGAGTGCGGCCCTCAGGTGCTGCATCAAGGTGTGCACACCTTGGTTGTTCGAAAGCCAGCTGGGTGGTTTTCCAGCCACATGCTTCTTGGCAGCACCTTTGAGTGCCGCGGCCAGTTTTGGCCCGCAAAGATATCTCTTCTCGTATGCTACCGACTGCTCCCAGAGTAGGCTGCTCTCCTCATACTCTTGGAAGCTGCCAGCGTCTCCATCCCAACTCGGTGGCCCCTCGTGAGCCTTGCTGCCTTCCCCACCGGAGGTCATGATCTCAGCTGAAGGCCCAAACGTTCAGCTGTCGTAGGTCCCTGGATCTTCACAAGTTCGGAAGCCTCTATGGAGGCTCCGCTACCATGCACGCCTCAATGGGGTGCACGGCAGCTGTTAGACTCAACGAGGATCGGGCTCGGAGGCAGTAGAAGGAGAGCACGGAAGGCACGGAATGAGCGGTGCGAAAGAGGCTCCTTTTTCTACACTGGCAACCCCTGCCTGTGATCCAAAGCTTCGCAGACCATCCTGCGTCGAGAAGCACACAAGTGATTCAATCACTTGCAAACCTTACGCTATCTTTATTGAGACACTTTGCGTGGAGAAAGCCTTGAAGCCTGAAGCCTCAGGCTCCTCATAGGCTGAACTCCCAACGTCCGGAAGACCACACGGAATACCCTGAACCCTGAACCCTAAACCCTAAACCCTGAAGCTTAAACCCTACACCCTAAACCCTAAACCCTAAACCCCGAACCCTGAACCCTAAACCCTAAACCCTGAACCCTAAACCCTAAACCCAAATCCCTAAACCCTAAACTTCAACCCTGCCTTCCGAACTGGCTCGAAGCCTGAGATTCGGCGTCAACCCCAACGTCCGAACCCCAAGCACGAAACTCTAAGCCCTACTTGGAGGTTCATGGCTTCCTTGAAGGGCTCCTTTAAAGGGATAGGAATTCTATAAGGGTATAGGGTTTAGGGTCTACTTGGAGGTTCATGGGTTTTTAGAAGTGGAGCTGTAAGTAGGGTAACTCTAATCATAGCCCATATTTGGGGACTTATAACCCCACTTATAACTACCCTAACCCCTAAACCCCTAAACCCCTAAACCCCTAAACCCTAAACCCTAAATCCCCAAAGAACCCTTTAAAGGGGTCCTTACAGGAACCCGTATAAGTACCCATGAACCTCCAAGTAGACCTGGGATCTTTTCGACTCGAGGTCTTCCAGGGTTTAGGGTTTGGGGTTCCCTGAAGAATATCCTAGACCTCTAGAGTGAAGGTTTAGGTTTTAGGGTTTAGGGTTTAGAGTTCAGGGTTCGGGGTTTAGGGTTTAGGGTTTGGGTTTCCGTAAACCCTAAACCCCAGAGCTCTAGACGAGAGGTTTAGGGAGTTTGGGGAATCCCCTTCCTGAACTGCCGGATTTTTCGGTTGCTATTGTTAACAGCCCAACCTCAAACCTTAAAGCCTAAGCCCAAGGCTCGAAGTCCTGAGTATAGCTGTAGCTACCCATGACCCTAAACCCTTAATCCCAAACCCTCAAACAATACGCAAAACCTAAGCATGAGCTTAAGGAAGACTGCAGACTGTACTCTCTTCGACACCTCGGCCGTGGTGTCGACAGGACCGTCCGCTTGTGAGGTTTCGGTTGCGTGTGTTGTTTTTCCAAGTCTTGCAAAGTGTTTCGATGTTTAAAGGTATCCATGAGGGTTTGAGAGGTTTTGATATGCTGAGACACGGGGTTTGATAAGGGTTGAATTTAAGGAATAGGCTTCAAGTTTAGATTATACGGAGAGTCCCTACTTGAAGATATATTGTTCAGTTGAGGGGTCTCGGAGTCTGTGGGTGTTCGCCTGGCTCTGGCTCAAGCTTGGCGTTCAGTGTTCATGGTTCAACAGTTCAACCCTCTAACCCTGGATCTTTAACACTACCTTGTAACCATAAACCACGGCATGTTCGGCCAAGACGTGACATGATTTTTGTTGCCTAAAATCGCATTGGCCACAAGATGCCGCGACCCCCCAAGAGTGCAACCCGAAGCCCACCGAACCCTAACCCTGAACCCTGGACCCCAAGACGTAAACCCTTTAAAACAAAACCTTAAACCCGGAACCCCTAACGTTTGTTCGTCTTCCTGTTTGATTTTCATGCTCTTCAGCAGAAGTTCCCGGCCAGCAATTGAGTGACCGGCCGCTTCCACCCCAACAGCAAAAGATTGCCCCAGCAAAGTTTAGGGTTTAGGGGTTTAGGGGTTTAGGGTTTAGGATTTAGGGTGTAGGACCCTGCAACAGCAAAACGGTCCCAACAGGCAGCATGACAGTCTTACTGCCTATACTCTAGACCCTATAAGTCCTGAAGCCCTAACCCCAAATCCCTTGCAGAAGCCTTAAACACAACACTTCCAGTAACGCGCAAGCTGCTGCATGTGAGGAAAAGGAGCGACGCTGAACAAAACCCCTAACCCCCTAAAGCCCTAAACCCATAAACCCGGCTTTTCTCTTCCGAGGAGCGACGCTGAACACCGACCTCTGCGGTGGCGAGGAGTTGCCCGATGACGGCCCTCAGCGTGCACCCAACCAGCGTGGCATCCAGGCCGTGGGAGTTGCCATAAAGGGAACTCCAGAAAGTTGGAATATGGTTTCAGGGTAGGATACCCTATAATTTACCATAAAGGGTTTAGGATAATCATATTCCAACTTTCTGGCTTTTACTGTAATAGAGGACCAGCTAGGATAATATAGGATAGTATCAAGGGTTTTTATAGAATAATATGTAGCATAAGGTAGGTAATATGGGATGACACTATTTCATAGGATGATATAGTATAATGTAGGATCATATAGTATATTATCGTTTGTAGAATTTAGTTTAGTATCTGCCTTTAGGAAGGGCTGAGGGGCTGGGTTGTGGGGTTTTTGGATTTTGGGGTTTAGGGTGACAGAGCTGTCAGGCCTTGGGTATGCAACTTCACCACAGAAGCCTTACAACCCCCAGTCAGAAAAGGGGCGCGCCCTAAACCCTGAACCCAAAACCCTCAACCAAAAACCTTAAACCCAAAGCCAAAAACCAAAAACCCTAAACCCTAAACCAAAAACCCTAAACCCCTCTGCACCCCGAAACCCCAAGCCCTCCACAAGTCCAGAACCTTTTCAGGATTTGGGGTTTTGGACCATCCCGGAAGTCGACATGCAATATCGGAAAACATAGTATAAGCTAGTATAGTATAGTATAGTAATACACAAGAAAGTAGAAAAAGAGAGTCTTGTACTGTATAAAGCAGTATAATATAGGAAAACATGGTATAGAATAGTATAGTAGAGTTCAAAATCGAGTACAATCATGGAGTATTGTATAAAGCAGTATAACTAGGACCTAGAGTAGACCCTTGTTCCCTTTTTTACGGTTTAGCTTCCCTTATAACCCCCTTTAAACCAAAAAGGGCACCCTGATAATATGGGAGTTTCCGAAAATAGGGGACCCTAATATACTACCCTAAATAATAGGATCCTTATTATAAGGACCCCAAATACGATACCCCCTATTTTCGGAAACTCCCATATAGGACCTCGATTGGACGATCGGCGCCTCCGAGACCAAAATCACTGCGCCTTTGCTGCAATGGTCTCCAGTGTTTTTTTGCGGGAGTCGTAAACCTAAACCTAAACCCTAAATGTGTAAACCCCTACGCCCTAAAACCGCTAAACCCCAAACCCCTAAACCCTAGTTTAGGGCTTCTCGACACACTTTAGGGTTAAGGGTTCATTGTTTGGGGTTTAGGGCACAGGGTTTGGTGGAATATTTAGACTTTTGGGGTTCTTGTCAGTTTCTACAGGGTTTACAAGGGGTTAGGGTGTAGGGTTCAGGGGGGTGCACACCACCGCCATCACCTGCATCACCACTGCGCGAGGACCTGAAGATCGCAGCTGAGCTGAGCTTCACGGCAGACACAGACGTCACCTTGACGAGCTCGGAGGACTGACTTGCACACTCAGCGTTTGAGTCCGGGAGGCTCAGAGCCCATGCCCATCCCCAAAACGCCTTGGCGAGAATGATCTACAGCCTTATCTACATGTATAGCTGTACCAAAACCTATATCTACATAGATAGCTAGCTCTTTCTTCCTTTGCGTGCATATATGTAGATAAATACACATATGGTTACATATATGCAGCATACGCCGCAGCACTACACTTAAATGGGCAAGTGCACCAACAATTGCTTGCTGACGTTGAATTCTTGACTAGTTTGGCAACCAGCTTTCCGGTGCTTGAACCCAGGCAAGTCAATATGCAAATGCATAGATGGACAAGTTAATTACTCAAGCATGGCAAGCAAAGAGTTATATATGCATATATGTGAACACACAAAGTTTATATACACGCATAAATGTTTGCACAGGTATCTGTATATGTACATATGTACATATATATATATATATATATATATATATATCTTAAGGGTTTTGGGGGTTTTTGGGTTTAGAGTTTCGGATTCAGGATTCAAAGGCCTGTAAAGCCCTAACCTGCGTACCGCAGGACATGTGGTCGATGCAGCTCTGTGATGTTTTCCTCGAGGTCTTTGAAATCGCAGGGCGAGCCATTGCCGCTGGGCCGAGGTAATTCTGAAGCCCTGAATTTTATTTCCGGTTCAGGGTCGGTGAAGCTGCAGTATCCACTTTGTGCAAGCACATGTTCCATGCCATGCAGCAGCCAGCCGATGTGGGGCTGTTGATTATCTCAGGCCTGCAACATTCTACTTATAAAAAACAGTCGGTATATGCGCAGTAGTATGGCGGTCTGACTCATTAGCAAGTGTGCGCACTCATAGTGCTGTTTGGATCGAGCCACAAACGATCCCAAAGCTTATTTTACTTGTTCAAGCCAAACATATATATATATATATACATATACATATTTATGTATATATGTGTGTGTATATCTTAGCAGTATCAGATCCGACTTTCTTTCGTGCTTCTTCGTGTTGTGTTGTGCTATACGAGGTTCTCTGTCGGTTGTTGAACCTCTGGTTTCGGGTTTTTAGGGTTTAGGGTTTAGAGACGGTTTCTAAATTCAACGTCCTCTGAGACCCTGAACTCGTGGATTTTCGACTCTGTCTACACCTGGTGTCATATCCCTCAAACCTCAGTCCTAAAAGCACTGTACCGATAACTATACCTTGACATCATATCGAGATCTTTGCCTGCAGCCCACTTAAACCTGAAGCCCTAATCCCTCCAGTTTAGGGTTTAGGGTTTAGAGTCTACAGCTTAAGTACCAAATCTGC